TCATCGGAGTAGAAACAGCAAAGGGAGTCACTGCCTAAAATAAGGAGAAAAAAACAGTCACAGTTTCACATTCCAGAAGATGTTGTAAAATGTACATTGTAACGTGTTCATCCTTTATTGGAAAAAATACACATGAAGACACAAAAAAAGAGAAAAGGAGGGGTTTTTAGAAGCAGGAGGAAAGAAAACATGATAAAAATTTCCAAAGCCCCAATCTATTCCATTGATTTAATTCAATGCTTATTGCAAAAAGAAAAAAAGAAATGTAATTACCTGTATCACAATTCCTTTTGACTTATATTCCACTTGAAGTGCTTTGGAAAATGTGTATACAAAAGCCTACGTAGAATTACAGAGAAACAAAGGGACAGTTTTAAAGAATATTACATTGCTTGTACACATTTATGAAATTATTTTCTAGATCTAAAGCTTGATTTCATTCAAGGCCCTTTTTCAAAATCTTTCCATTTGTTCTTCATATCACTACTTAGTGTCATTGCTGAATACTGAGAATATAGAAAGTTGCATCCAAATTTTGTTCAGTTAATTCAGATATAAAAGACCCCTTGCAACATATCCAGGAATCCCAATCACAAGAAGGCTGCATATATAAAAATTTGTCATTCTTTCCCTCTAGTGAACCAGAAATTATTTTTACAACTAACATGTTCAGGTATTCCAAATGAATATTTGAAAAAAAGAATATTAATTTAAGAACTGGAACAGGTAAACAGGCTTGCTATCATAATGGGGAAGAAAGATAAAATGGCTCAAAATAAAACTGACAGTTTACCCAATTCTCCCCCTCAGGTTTTGGACAAATCACATTTGTTTCCTGGTAACATTTTTAAGTAAATTGGGATTAAAATAAAAACACACTTTAGACATAGTTTCTGCCTTTTCTTATGTCTTGCTTAATTTGTGCTAGCAGACTAGTAAATGTGTACATGGGCTGATGGGAAGTTGTCCTATGTTCCTGTTTCATCATTCATGGGGAAAAAAACCTTTCTTTTTGGTCTTCCAGTTTCTTTAACATCAGGGCTCTGAATAACTTTTGCAGAGTTCATCACAGTCTTGTAATTGAAGTATATGATGTCTGATTTCAGCTTTTAGAAATGGCAAGGTATTTTTTTAATATCATGAAACCAATAACCATAGATAAAAACTGAAGTACAAAAAAAATTAAAGTCATACCTTAGATGCAGAATAGATTGCATATAAAGGACAAGGAAAGGTGCCAAAGGCTGATGAAAGATTAAGAATTAGACCTTTTTTTCTGAAATGTAAATTGAAAATAACTTTTAGGTATCTTGCATGCACTAAACTAATACACTTACTCAGGTTTTATAGATGCCAGTACTTACCCAAGCTCAATCTTCTTAGGAGATTTATGGCATTTCATTGAGTTAACAAGTATTTACCCTTACATAAGACAAAGACTGCAAGATCCCTGTCGTTCATTTGATGTCTGGAGAAATCCACCATAAAAAAAACCCTGCCATACTGTATATCAGGGGTTCCCAACCGAGGGTGCGAGACGATATTCTAGGGGGTGTGAAAACTTGGGTTCTCAAAATTATAGTGTAGATGCATAATTCATTGCCGTTATTTCGAACTTTTGTAAGGGGTGCAAGAATATATCAGAAGCATTCTAGGGGGCAGGGTATACAAAAGATTGGGAGCCGCTGCTGTATATCCTTCAAGGCCAGCCTGCAAACTGCTAGAATAACATTAACTAATGGATTCAAACGCTAATGAATTTATAGATCATTAGCAGGTGCAGTTGCTTAATGTATGGACAGAAGAGAATTGCCACGGAACATCCTTTGTATCCTATTGGATGGGCTGCATACATTGACCCTGTGATATGGCCTAATACACGGGTAGGCAACCTTGGTTCTTTTATGACTCGTGGACTTCAACTCCCAGAATTCCTGAGCCAGCATGGCTGGCTCAGGAATTCTGGGAGTTGAAGTCCACGAGTCATAAAAGAACCAAGGTTGCCTACCCTGGCCTAATATCTGGTTTGTGACTATGACATTCTCTGGAAAATGGTGTAATTTATGCCAACCCAAATCATCCCAAAGTTCATTAAAATCAAAAGGCTTCCCTGAAGAAAACAATTAATAAATAAATTATAATGTGGAAAATTGCTTTACCTTGCCACCATTTGTTTCAAAATGATTCGCGTCATCTAAAAAAAAAAAGTATAATTAGAACTAGCCCTCACAGATTGTTTGAGACAATTCAAGAAACATTGGCAATTTAGCCACCACAATGCCCTAAACAATATATATTGATGTCCCAAATTAGATATTGACTATGTGTGTATGTGTGTGTGTGAGAGAGAGAGACTTCCCCCCCCCTTTTCTCTTGAAATAAAGTACTTCACCTCCTGAAAACAATCATAAAATTGTTGAGTCAGAAGGTCCCATGAAGGAGGTAAATGCAAACTGATTGTCAAATGCCCAAAATACAATCACATGACTGGGCTGTGCACAGCAGTCATAATTTCTACGACAGATCATAAGTAGCCTTTTTGAAATTCATTGTAACTTTGACCAGTCATTAAACAACTGGTCGTAAGTTGAGGACTACCTGTACTCTCATCAATTCAAATGTGCCCTCCACCCTAAAAAAACAGGGGTCTTCAAACTTGGCAACTTTAAGACTTGTGGACTTCAACTCCCAGAATTCCTCAGCCAGCCTTGGCTGGCTGAGGAATTCTGTGAGTTGAAGTCCACAAGTTTTAAAGTTGCCAAGTTTGAAGACCCCTGCTAAAAAACATGGATTCAAGTAGCAAGAAAAACCTCTTACATCTTTTTAAGTAAACTAATGAGAAATGATAGTCAAAGTTTTCCATGAATGTTTCCAGAGAACGCTTTTGTTATGCAACTATTGTCTGTTTATAACATTCAGATTTTCTTTCATATTTTTGTTACTAGAAAGAAAAACCAATTAAGTGGGGAAAAAAAAAAACTTGCCAATGTGGGAAGGTCCAATTCCCTATCTCTGCTGAATGGTATTTTTGACAATTTGTCCAATCTAGAATCAAAGGGCCTGTTTAGAAATGCTTATAGCAACCAAAATATTGTGCATATTGTGTTGGTTTGTTTTTGTTGGTTTGAACCAACAAAAGGGTTTGAACAAATATCAAAGCAGCAGCTGTCAGATTCTGTTTAGGGAAAAAAAAACATTTGACATCCTTTAAAGATGTTTGAGATAACTTGTAAACACAAAGCTTAAGCAGCTTTTCCTGACTGCTCAGAAGGAAATGTGATAGCAAAGGCTTCACTATTATATGATCAGCTAAAGCTGCAATGAACATTACGTCAGTTCAAGTGATGCTGCTGTCCCAAATTGCTAAGAAACAAACTCTAGTTTTGCCAGGAAAAGAGTCAAGAACTAAATGCTGCATTATAATACTTCTAGAAGGAAGAAAAACCCATCCAGTAATCTTTCTGCTGAAGTAAAGCTATTGTTCACAAAGAAAGAACTTACAACAGATACACAAGAACAGTCTTATTAGTGCCCACTGGCTAAGAAAATTGACCCTCATGTTTATATAAAACATTGCTGATTAAAGGTAGGTGAGGTACAGATTTTAAGCCTCTTGGTATCCCAAAGCAGCCATTTTGTTATAAAAAGAACACTGTGAGAAATTATGCCACTGAAAGTCTACACTTTTCTACATTGCCTACAGCTAAACGATAAGCAAGGATATTAATATACCTGCTTTCACATACTGTATTTACCACTAAAATTGTTTTGATTGTATGATGTGATGGGAAAGTAAAATGGTATGCCTAGCTTTAGAAATTTTGTTTTGCTATCATGCAGTAGCCATATTCAGTTTTGATTAGCGTAGGTCAAATATGTCAAACTGCCGGCCCATGGACCAGATGCGTCATACCGAAATCGCACCCACCCCATTGCCGGCAATGGGGAAAAAGTTGCAATATGTTACGCGATGTCACATGACATTGCAAGTTTGACATGCCTGGCCTAGGTGGTTACCCATTCTGATGTCATATATTTCAACCTCCAAAGAGGAAGGGAACCAGCATACAAGCAAAGTGGAGGAGCAGAAAATCCCTGGGATGCTAATGAAACAACAGAAGGAGAAGAATTGAGTAAGGACCATTTTCACTCTACGGATGACAAAGAGTTGCAACCCAGAAACTTGTGGAAGGCCAGACATTGTCAAAGTCTATGTTTCTTTGCATTCAGTTCAAATGCCATGCCTTACTTTTATGCAAGCAAACATAAGAGCTGGTCTGGTCTGTGATACATACCTTAGTGACAGACATGATGTTGCAATTAATGAGGTCCTGTTGAGAATAATACATGGATTACATGGCAGTTGTGCTGATTTGAAGAAAACAAGATGCTCAGAAAATTCAGTTTGGCCTCAGTTTCTAGAATGAGATGTTTAAAAATCTGTTCCTACCAGGGCCGCATGAGCCTTCCTATTTCATGAGGATTAATTTGCTTCTACAGGATAACCCAAACATTATTTAGCTAGATGGCTTGTATGTAGCACAAGTCAATTTCCCCCAGCCAGACATTTTCCTTTTCTATGAAATTGATATTTTGCTGCAGAAATAAACATCTTGACTGCCTACAATCCAAAACAACCCATTACACTTCCTCAAACATCCAATTGTGTCTAGAAATGCATGTTTGATTCTAGTCAAAATGTCAGGCAAGAACAGGCAAATGTCATGCAGAGTTCAAGCTAACTATTATGTTTTGCCTATAATACAAGAATCTCCCCAGACTGGAAGTCTTCTCTTGGGAACAAATAGATAAGGCTCCAAGGAAATTAGTGGGAGTCAGTCCTAGCCCTTTGGCAGTTGTATAGTAAATCCAGGCTTACTCTGCACTTGAACTTTCCTCCTTGCCAGGTCGAGCGCTTCCTGACACAAAACTTCATAAAAAAAATAATTTAAATGTGAATCAAGCTTCAATCAAATTTAGAAACCTTGTTTATTGGCTACTCATTTACTTCAACAAAATTTAGTACTGTATTCTAGAGAAAATGGGAGATGATCATGATAGAAATACTTCCTGAAACATTCTTTAAGCCCTGATAAACAAGAACAATTTTGTGTAGAGGCTCAAGAGGCTCAACCTTGAATACTGGAGTATAAGAACGAGGGGTAGTAAAGCACAGTTGAGCTTACAATACTCTGTGTTATTGCTTCAATAAAAGTTGCTCATCTCAATAAAGTATAATTTTATCATCCCCGTGGAGTTAATTCTCTGGTCTACGTAGTGTGGCTGATACTACATTTTGTATGAAAACACAAATACATGATCTTATTACTATTATGGAAGAATCCTTACCTCATCTTTGTCTGGAATATTAAGAAAATGGCACGGAAAGCGATTAGGTAGCATTCCAACATTGTTAACTAATAAAAAAGAAAAAAAAGCAAATTAGAATCATGAAGTACAAGGGAACCATTAGAGTCTCTGGATCACATGCAGACCAGAGTCCCACTCTTTTGATCTCCAGAGCTCCTTGGCTCCTAGATTGTATTGGTATTTTTTTAAAGGCAAAGCTCCATTTTTTTCGGCTGAAAAATGAGAAAAGAGACCAAAACATTTGTGCCCTTGCCTTTGTTTTGATGAAATAACCAGCTCACTATAATAGGTTCCCAGCCCTGACTAAAGATGCTTTTTTCTGAAGATAGAGAATACACAGAATTCATTCACAGATAAACATGATTGTTGAATGCTGTTTTCTAATAACACTAATGTCAGATCAACTGTGTCTGTCTGATGAAGACAATTTAATGCTATGTAAATTTAAAGGATAGAAGAAAAGAAACTATCATCTACAATGTTTCGCTGAGTAATTTATTGGGATGCTTTTCAGGCATGATTCAGGCTGAGCTATAGTACCAAGCAGCATTGGTAGCATAGGTGGATAACTTTTGGTGGGCTCTGGATGAGGGTGATATGGTCCTTCTGGATCTCTCAGTGGCTTTTGATACTATTGATCTTGTTGAATTGGCTCCAGGAACTGGGAGTGGAGAACACTATTTTGCAGTAATTCTCCTCCTTTCTCTGTGGTTGGTAGCAGTCAGTACTAATGGGGGGAGGAGGGGTCCAAATCCTGGTCCCCTGTTATGAGGGGCACTTCATGACACAAGTCTCTCTCCCTCTCCTACTTTCTAATTTCTAAGAAGCCATTGGGAGTGGTCATTCACCAACATGGGTTTTGGTATCATCAGTAAGCTAATGTATGGATGATACCCAATTATATATTTCTACCCTATGCTGGGCAAGTGATGCTGATCAGATGCTGACTGAATGCCTGGAGGCTGTAAGGCTTTGGATGGGAAGAAGCTGGCTGTGACTCAGTCTTAGCAAGGTGCAGTGGGATTTTGGACCCTCAGGGTCAGAAGAACAGAGACTTCTAACTCTGGACAGGTAACACTCTCCTATATAGGAAAAAGGTAAAAAGGGCAACTGACAAAAATGGTTTTTATTAGTATCCCCAAATAGTACTACTACTACCAAAATAGTAGTTAAAAATCAAATTATTTTCACCTATCACTGGTTTCTTTTATTGAAGGATGACTTTTAAAAAACTTCCCAGAGTTCTAATGTTCAAAAATTGGTCACATTTAACTAATTCATAAAAAGGAAAGTCTCCTTTGAACCAGCTTAATTTTGGGTGACTTCATTCTTCCATTCTTGGTTAACTTACCCAAAATTCCAATTTCTAATCCTTGAAGGTTTTCTTCAATGTTTTCATATATGTCATTTTCTGTGAAGTCAGCTTGTATGATTTTCACAGTTCTCTTAGTCGTTTGTTCTGCATGGAGGAGGAGGAGGTTTTATATTAATTTATTTTCCCCCCCTATAATTGTATTAAGTTTAAATAGATTAAATCTATGAGGACACCAAAACAGGGACCTTACCTGGAATATTACATCCATTTAAACATATTTGGAGCCAGTGACAATGGCAGAATCACTTATGACAATGGCAGAATCACTGGAAAACAGTTACTATATGACTTAGTATCAGACATTCAATTAATTCATACCCAATGCTGGAAATCACAGCAGCTTCCAAAATTTATTGTAACTTTTACTAAAATTTATATCTATTTCAGTAAAAACTACACAAATTTTGTTTACCTTAGAGGTTAACAGATGAATTAGCATATAAGCTTTAGTATTAAATGTTGGTCACAATCCTTAGTAAGCAAGACACAAAGGGGTCATATGTTGTGCCATGAATAAATCAATTTTTGTCTGCCAGCAATTTTTTTATTAGATTCAGTAGCATTTGCTTGAGGAAAATACAGTGAATCATGGGACAAGATTACCTCTGCTGCTGTTGCAAGATTTCTTTAATGGATGACATGTTAGTTCAATAAAAATAGCTTTAGATCAAAATAATGCATTATTTTGATCTATTGATCACAGTGACATTTGAAACATAATACATGTCCTCAGTGCTTCTCACTTTCTGTCAATGTCTTGAAAAAGAAGATTTATGACCTGTTCTCAAAGTTGTGGCTGTCATGAGGTCCCTGCAGTCACCTAATCACATTTCGGGCAACTGGCACACATTTATGATGGTCACAGCATCCCACAGTCGTGTGTGATCACCATTTGCAGCTTTCGTAGCCAGCTTCCATCAATTAAAGTCAATAGGGAAGTTGGCAGGAAGTTGCTAGTTGTGGTCAAATGATGTTGCACTTAACCCATAGTGATTCATTTAATGAACTGCTAGTCCCACTTGCCGAGTGAATGTGAGGATTACTTGTACAGGAAGCCATGATGGGTTCATTTAACAAATAAAATCAAATTCCACAATTGCACTTATTTGAATTTAATGGAATTAAGTCTGCCATTCCTACCCATGCATTATTCTAGAACGTAAATCTTTCTTCCTGCAGTATTAAACCAGTGGTTTTTTTCTCTATTCCCTTCTTCCAAATTAACATTCAGTCTGATTAAACTTGAAAGCTTGCCCATTGTTTTGTATCATTTTTGCTTCATTGCAATGAAGAATTCTTCTGCTGTGAGGCTACAATGTGAACTTGAGATACCTTGGGCAAAGCTCCTTCTTGTTACAGACTTACCAATTTCCAAGGCTACCTTCTCCAAGTTTTTGAGTGATCGACTTATGAGAACCACATTTAATCCGTGCTTGGCAAGCTGAAAAACAAAGTTTAGCAATATTTAAAATTTTATGCTGAGTTAATGGACCACCTCCTATGTGAAAAAGTGTACTTTATTTATATGCTGTAAACCCAATCCTACCATTAAGAAGAATGAGCATGGGAGGTTGTGGGTGTGTCTTTATATATTTACTGTGTAAAATTTAATGAAGAATGGTTACAGGAACTGGGCATGGCTAGTCTAATGAAGAGAAGGACCAGGGGAGACAGCATAGCAGTGTTCCAATATTTGAGGGGCTTTCACAGAGAGGAGGGGGGTCAACCTATTTTCCAAAGCACCTGAAGACCAGACAAGGAATATCGGATGAAAACTGATCAAGGAGAGATTCAACCTAGAAATAAGGATACATTTTCTGACAGTGAGAACAATCAACCAATGGAACAGTTTGCCTCCAGATGTTGTGGGAGTTTCATCACTGGAAGCTTTCAAGAAGAGACTGGACTGCTATCTGTCAGAAATGGTGTAGGGTCTCTGGCTTGGCCGTGGTGGGGGGGTTGGACTAGATGACCTACAAGGTCCCTTCCAACTCTGTTATTCTAATTCTAATTGTTATTCTAATTCTAATAATACATTCTCTTTATATGATTTCATGGAGAAAATCAATGTGGTTTCTAAAAGTCAAAAATATCTCTGCATATAATCAATTAATTAATCTTTGTATGATTGCATTACAAAAATGATCTCAAAATTCTCTTCTCTCTAAACTAGAATATAATAATAATAATAATAATAATAATAATAATAATAATAATAATAATAATAATAATAATAATAATAATAATAATAATAATAATAAAGTTGGAAGGGAGCTTGGAGGTCATCTAGTCCAACCCCTTGCTCAGGCAGAAAACCCTATACCATTTCAGACAAATGGCTGTCCAGTCTCTTCTTAAAAACTTCCAGGGTTGCAGCATTCACAGGTTCAGGAGGCAGGTTCTTCCACTGATTAATTGTTCTGTCAGGCAATTTCTCCTTAGTTCTAGGTTGCTTCTCTCTTTGGTTAGTTTCCACCCATTGCTTCTTGTCCTGCCTTCAGGCGCTTTGGAAAATAGCTTGATTCCCTCTTCTTTGTGGCAGCCCCTGAGATATTGGAACACTGCTATCATGTCCCCCCTCGTCCTTCTCTTCATTAAACTAGACATACCCAATTCCAGCAACCGTTCCTTATATGGCAACCGTTCCTTATATCCAAGACTATACATATTATTGGGTGACTACCCAAAATAATTTTGCTTTTTAACCTTTTAAATTTTGTAAAGTTATTTTCTTTCCTGGTTTAAAAATATGGTGTTATAAAACCTAGTGTTAGATCTACACAAGAAGCATATTGAGTTTTCACTGGTTTGTTGTTTGCCGTGCTTCATCACATATAGATCCCAGCTTCCTTCAGCTCAGTGGTTCTCAACCTGTGGGTCGGGACCCCATTTGGGATCGATCAACCATTTCATGGGGGTCGCCAAGCAAGGCTGTCCGCCATTTTTTTTGTCCGCCATTTTTTTTGTCCGCCATTTTTTTTCCCCTTTTCCAGCGGGTGCCTTACCTCCCTTGGGCTGGGCCAGCTGGTGATCGGCCTGCTCCGTCTCTGCCGCTTGCCAGCTGCGCCTCGGCCGGCGCAGGGGGCGGAACCACGCATGTGCGGCGCTCCCGGGCAGGGAAAGTCCCCGACTTACGACCGGTTGGGTAGTCCTCGACTTACGACCGGTTTAGTCCTCGACTTACGACCGGTTTAGTCCTCGACTTACGACCGGTTGGGGTCGCGGCATTAAAAAGGTTGAGAACCACTGCTTCAGCTGGAATGGCAAAATTCTGTGCAAGCAGGTGGCTTTCATCTTACCTCCTGGAATCAGATGGCATGGAAAGCATCTGATGATACTATCAACTTACTGGCAGAGAGCTCAATTCACTTCCTGGATAGCCAGATTTGAAGGCATGTTTAGTAATGTCCATAGAAAACTTTATCATGCAAAACACGTTCTGCTTGTATCAAGTTATTCTAAACCTAGATAATTATTGTAGGCAATGATTGCCCCTTTATTGAAGTAAAGAGAAATAGCATATGTATTTTGTATTCCTGTTCCTACACAACAGGGGACATGATGGCTCAGAGGTTCTAGACACGGGCGCTGCACAACAGAGTGAGCTTCCATTCCCGCCCCAGCTCCTCTCCACCTAGCAATTCGAAAGCATGCAAATGCGAGTAGATTAACAGGTACCACTTTGGTGGGAAGGTAACAGTGTTCCATGAGCCTTTGGCATATAGCCATGCTGGCCACATGACCACAAAAAATGTCTTCAGACAATACTGGCTCCCTCAGCCAAGAAATGGAGGTGCTCTAGAATCAGACAGGACCGGGCAGGGAAATCTTTACCTTTTACCTCTTATGCAACTTGATGGAAAAGAAATTAGCCGTAGAAAAAGAATCCAATGCAAGTGGAAATTTAGATGAATTCTCATAGATAGGGGCAGGGCTAGTTTATGTTGTCCTTCAGCAGTGTGGTGCATGGCAAATCTTTCACTCTGCCACCATCCTGCCAATCATCTGTAGCCTCTCTGGTTCTCAGATGTCAATTAAATCTGAAGAAAAGGGGGATTTGTTTTTTTTTTCTACCACTCAGGTACATGCACAGGCATGTATCAGACTGCTAAACAGATTGGTGGAATGATATACTGTACAACCCAAAATGCCATTACTGCAGCAGCAGCAGCAGCTGCTACCCCCTTATAACTATAGCATTAGCATTTTAGCAATGAAGTAAAACTAAAACAAAAACCTGACACCTCTTCAGAAAGGAAAAAAATATTTCAAGAAGTTGGAAGAATAATTTTGGCACAGTATTAATGACAAACTGTTTACACAGCACATTAGAATGTATTCTAAACTATCTGAGCCCAATATAAACATGAAATATATGTTTACCACCTCCAACGAGTAGGCTCTTCCAATTCCACCTCCTGCTCCAGTGACCACTAAAAAAAAAAAGAATATAATGTTTAATTATCTTATTCCTTTTATACATCTTAATATGTATATATTTTCCTCTCACTTTCATCTTTAGACATAAGACATGTAGGGGCCTAGCAAATGCGATTTGACCTAATTTATATTAGAACAAAGTTTTTTACTACTTTAGTTTTGAAATAGCATGGAAAGCAGCAACTGGGGAATTTGGTGATTTGGTTTTGTAATACGTATCAATCAAGTTGCTTGTCTAAAATCTCTTTAAAATGTAGTCCACGGCTACACTTGCTGGAAAGTGGAAAGACCAAGTGAGATTACTCAAAAGATTGTACTTTAAGAGAGTTTGAAATTAAAGACAGACATTGTCCTAAAAATAGTAACAGTCTGGATATCAAAAGTCAGAAGGAAGTAAATTATTACTTAATTTGTTGGACCCTGCTTTAGGAATATATGGACCTAGTAAAATTCACTGAAAATTCTTCACCTGGACATAATAACAGATCTAAGCTAGAAGCTGTACAGTAGTATAGAAATTCCGTGCATAATTAAATTCATGCAGAGAAAATATTGTTTATAGAAAATATGGGAATAAGATAGCCAATCATGATATACCTAAAAGTAAAAATCTGTCGCTTTTCACTGAAAAATAAATATTAGTGAATTCTATGGGATTTTATATAGACATAGGAAATAATATCTGTATAAATGCTCTAATGTTTCTTAATTACCAAACATCAGAATATGATGCTTTGAATAAGACTTGTTCCTAGGGGAGGGCACTTAGGATTGCAAATTAATTTCACAATGCTTACATTGCTTATATTTGTTTCCTTCCAAGAGTAGCAAAGGTTCATAAAATTGTAGAAAATTGTAAGAGATTAGGAAAAAGAAAACCTGAGGCAGTTCAGCAATCATAAGCCTAGTATAGTTGTGATACAATCCTACCAACTTCTAATAAGATAAGTTGTTTGTTTGTTTTTTCTACTGAGGATACTTGCAGGTTCAAATGAGAAATTTTTTTTAAAAACCAGTGGTTCTCAATCTTTTATGTCTTCTCCATCCAATCCCTCTAACAAAGAATCTAAATCCCACTATTGTAATAAAAATGGTCATCTCTTCCCAAGAATGGCAGTTATATGTTTACAGGTGATCTAAGATACTTATTATTATTAATGGTTAAAATTCCAGTCTTATTCTGTTATGCATCCCACCATTAAAGAACTACAGCCCAAGCAAGAGAAAATTTATCTGCATGTACAACATGAGGACAGCTACAGAATCATACTGGAATAAAAATATACACACGCATACACACAAAATAGCAATTGCATTCCTGAAAAGCAGAACATTTAGTATTAAAAATATTATGGAATTGCATAACACAAGCAAATAGTCCGTTTGTAACTCTCCATGCCATTACTTGCCCATTTTAAACATTTTCCAAATAAAGGAAAATAGAGTTCTATACTCTGCAGTAAAAAAGAAAATGAACAATGTCTCAGAACAATGAAACAAGTTCCTATTTCTCAAATTCTCCAGACTTTTAGAGATAAATGATATGGAAAACTGACTTTCCAACACTGAGCTAATATCTTTTCCCTCCACATTGGCATATAAGAATAGCAAAGGTGTCTTTACCTGCCCATTCTCCCATTGAACGAAAATAAGATGAAGGCAAAATATTCCATATGTAAGGAAGAAAATATTTCAAAAACCAAATGCACTTTAGCAGGAAAATGGAACAACAGATGCCTCCAAGGAGAGCAAGCAGCAGCTGGAATTCATCCATGAGAAATTTATAAATGGAGAGGTTGGACAAGTGTTGAAACGGTCCTCTCTTTATTCCAACCAACAACTGCTTTGAAAGCTGAGCTGGCAGAAGAGAAATAAATATGCCCAATCATAACTTCTCAAGTCATTTGAATCTTGTTCAATGGAATACACTCAGAATAATAACAAAATGACGTCTTCATCCTGATATGCAAGAGTATAGGACAAACAAACCAAAACATGAGTTCCAGAGCCAACTTGATAATTTTCTTCTTTTACAAAAATAACATGATGTTTGGGCTTCTTGGGATGAGCTCACTCCTAACACATGGAAGCTGTCATGATGTCATCATCATCTGAAGATGATGATCTGGTCTATCAATTTGTTGCTGAGGGTCACTGTTATCTCCTTGTTTATAAATGCATTAACCTTATGTAAGATTTTTATATATCATCATTGAATTTGCAGTTGTTTCTGGCAGCATGCTTTAGTGGAGTCACAGAGCAATCTTCTACTCAAGAATAAACCTCATTAAATACACTAGGTAACAAATATAGGATTGCAATCCATATGTCACCTTTCCTCCAAATGGAATGATAAGCAGCATTACTATTACTACTAATATTACTACAACTAGCACTGTGGATGAGCAGCCAAATGGACAGGAGCACAGTAGAGAATATGAATTTGTTTATTATTATTTATGAATGTGTACAGAGATGTGTATGGGTGCTTGAGCATTCGATAAATTAGCTCAGCTCTCAAACAGCATGGATAGTATGGAACCCAGAAATCCAAAGTTGTTTTCTTACCAGCATGGACTTATTATGAGGAGGGCCCAGAGTTGAAAATGGGCATCAATTTTGATACGAAAAATAATATTCTATTGCAGTGGTTCTCAACCTGTGGGTCGGGACCCCATTTGGGGTCGATCGACCATTTCATGGGGGTCGCCAAGCAAGGCTGTCCACCATTTTTTTGTCCGCCATTTTTCCCCCTTTTCTGGCGGGTGCCTTACCTCCCTTGGGCTGGGCCAGCTGGTGGTCGGCCTGCTCCGTCTCTGCCGCTTGCCAGCTACGCCTCGGCCGGCGCAGGGAGCGGAACCACGCATGTGCGGTGCTCCCGGGCAGGGAAAGTCCTCGACTTACGACCGGTTGGGTAGTCCTCGACTTACGACCGGTTTAGTCCTCGACTTACGACCGGTTGGGGTCGCGGCATTAAAAAGGTTGAGAACCACTGTTCTATTGCCTTGCCAGAGCTTGACTTACTGATAACCTGTTTTCAATTGATTAAAAACCACAACCCCATACACAATGTGGCAAATCTGATCATGGATTTCCCCCCCCCCAAATAATGCTTATCAGACTCTTTTCCCAAAATTGGACAAGTTCTAAATATGTGGATTTCATTTCCAACATTTCTCAGCAATGGCCAGACTGTCTGGAATGGAAGACCACATATCTGGAAGTGGCCAAGATTGGAGAACATTGTGCTAGACTAGTGTTTCTTATACTTTTCTCTATTGGGACCCCTTCCCACTTTTAAAAATAATGGAGGATAGTTTTGTTTTTTGTTCATATGAGTTATATTTATCTATATTTATCAGTATTAAAAATTAAAATGGATGCATTTGCTGCCACTACTGCTTCTCACAATTATTTGATGGGACTTTAATATTGTATTATTTTTCAACATAGGCTGGCAAATAATTTTGGATCCCTGAATCTTGGGGAACCTCCAGAAGTCATAAGACCACTTCCAGATTATGAAATTTAGCAAGAAAAGGTGAGTAGGCAGAATTTTTGGACCCACAGAATGCTTGGAAATACATCCCACCCAAAAGGTATCCTCCCAACAAAAACCCCACTAGGCTGTAGTTGTAGCATTTCAATATTTTTACAAATGTCTTAATAGGTAATGGTGGTGTCCAAGTTGCATACTTGTAAATAAATACAATTTCTTTTGATTTTCCAGTGTTATAAGTCTTTAATTAAACAGTTTAAAAATATTGAATTCAGGTGGGACAGGAAGGCTGATAGACAGCAAAGGAAGTTTCTTTGGGGCATATTTGTTTTGCCCTGAATGCTCCATTGCCTGCAAATGGTGTGGGTAAATAGAGTAATTCAGGTTACAGGTTATATTGTTTTTGGCTGCTACTTTGTGGTTCCTTTCAAGTAAGACTTATATGCCATATTGTCTTGCTTCCTTCATGGACTATACAACAGATATGTATTTCCTGCATATAATTGCAGATGAATTTAAGATACAAAGCAAAATCTAAATAGACCTTCAATAAATATGTTTATAGAAGAATATTTCTCAGGAGTTTATTCTAGCAAATAGAGTTTTGTATAAAATTAAGCTAGCATATTCTTCTGAAGGATGACCTTCCTTACATAGAAAATAGATTACATTGTAATAAGGCATCTAAAACAGGATTAACAAAGGCTAGCATTCATAAATTCACTGCCTTGCCTATTTAAACAATGTAAATCTCCAAGCTATTGGTTCAGTGAGCGTTTGTTATATTTGCAAATTTTCCCACCATTTCGGTTTGGAATCTGTGCAAAGGTTTCCCTACCATGCTCTATCAGGAGAAATACAACATTATCACAGTTCAACGATGAAAATAATCAGTTCCTGGGAAGCCAAATACCCTCAAACCACTCTATTTTTCTAGGGTTGATCTGGAGTCTTAACTAAAGCTTCTTAATGATCTTCAAGGCAACCCCTTGTAGAGCATATTGCAATAATATAATCCAATTACTGAACCAATCTTTTCTGCTGCCTCAAGGTTTGGGGAAAAAGCACTTTGACAACTATGAGGAAAAGCCTTACATTTTGTCTCATTCTGTTATTTCAGTTTAAATTTTAAAAAGTGGTCCAAAACACTGACTTACATTTCATTCAATCAGTAACAATGAAGATATGCCTTGCAACAAGTTCCCAAATTAAGTTTTCTTTCATGTAACCTTCTCGCTATTTAGGAAAGGCATTAAAAAACATATAAAACTTGTCATGTTTATATGTGATAACAGCATCCACTTGATGTATGAAAAGAAGATGCTAATGGATCCGTTTATCATAAACCCTTGAGCCTGTAATTCTGTACCCATTACTCTGAACACAGATGGGGAAGGGGTAATTTTTTCATGGGCAGGATTACTCTATGAGATCATGCAGGCCAGACACTGAAGCACATTTAATTCTGTGTTAATGCAAAAAGCCCTTGGACTTCTAGCTCTCACATGGGAACACCCTTTCCTCCATAAAGTTCTTTTAAAGTAGAGAGTGTGAACTATCCTTTAAGAGTATGGTGGGATAGTGGTTAGAATGCAGTATCGCAGGCAAACCTAGATGCTATCAGCTCAAGGTTGACTCACCCTTCCACCCTTCCGATGGAAGAGGATGAGGTAAAATGAGGACCCAGATTGTTGGGGGCAAGATGCTGACTCTGTAAATCGCGCAGAGGGTGCTGTAGTTCAGCATGCCCTGATGCTTGTTATGGATGGCTTGTCTGAGTTTTCGTAACGTTTCACAGTTACGAAATTGATGGTCAAACCACGCTCCATGAACTTCACTAGCAGTACTCCTTTGGCATCTTCACATTTGGCGGGATTTTCTATGGCACCACTTCCGGTGTGGTGTTGGTTCATGATAATGCTCGCTCGCACACCGCTAGACGCATCCAAGAACTTTTGAAGCAGTTCCGTTGGGATGTTTTTGATCACACCACTATAGCCCAGATTTGGCGCTGAGCGACTATTACTGAGGAATTTCAAACCTTGTAAGACGTTATATCAAGTGCCTCAATTTGAATGGCAATTATGTTGAAAAGCAATGTAATGTTGCAGTTTTCGAATGTGTGTAATAAAAGTTCTGTATCTGCGAGGGTCTGTCATTGATAACCAAAAGGAGGTTTATTTCTGAATTGCCCTGGTATAAGTCTAAGTACTATTGCTATTGTTCGTGCTATCCTGGCAAGAAAATGTTCTTGAGCCTGACATTTCTGGAAGGATTCGGACTGCGAAAGCTGCCTTTGCAGCCGTGCAGGGCTCAGATTTTAAAGAAAAAGAAAAATGCATTTGGGAAGGACAAGGTCATAGAACTGAGGGAAAGGGAGCAAATGACGATGACAGCATTGCAACAATGTGATTCCAGTTCTGCCAATTTTGTACTTGTGTTGTGACTATCTTGTTTCATCTTCTTCTGAATAAATGAGATGGTGAATAAAGGATGCCTGTCAAAGTCACCATGCACCATCACTGTATGGTTCTTCACAAGAAGGTATCAGCCAAGGGAAAAGGCTGAGACTTTCTCCCAAAGCTTGTTTCTGGGTATTGAGCTCAATACTGCCCCCACGTCTATGAAGGCAATGTGCCATTTTCCTCATGGGACATCCTGGGTGTATGTATGAGTCAACAATGTTAAAAGGGAGATTCCAGTGGGGAAAATGTCAGACTGAATGTCTCCGAAAATGCTACTGATGAATAGCTATTTTGTCTTCTCTTTCAATTACAGTTTCAATATATAATAAGTTTGACTCAGTCTGGTATGTGGTGGATGCAGTCAATATATGTAAATAATCTAGTCAGTATTACATACTCCCAATGGCTTTACTTTTTCTTTTCTTAAGCAGAGAGATAACTTTAGTGGTTTCCAAAAGACAAAGGCTCAGCTAGGGGTGTCTTCAAGACAAAGGTCGAACGTTGGCATACAGCCGGCATTGTCACTGGCCATATCTTGGGAAAAGTGACATCTGATATCCCACTTGGATCTTTTGGAACCGACAAGTAAAGCAAAATACCACAGATTTCTTTTCCTTTCACTATCTTACTTTTTGAGCAGGTTTTCCCATTTTCTTCCTTAGCTTCCATAATTTTCCATTTTAGGAGAGCTAATTTTTCATCTCAAGAACAATGCCTGGAGATTTAGAAAAGCTGGGAACTACACTCTGTAACTTTTATTCTTCTGTTATTCTTTTCCTATTCCTATTCTCTTCCCCTCAGGATGCCTTT